CATAGGACCCGGGGAACATAGGACCCGGGGATGACCCCGCAGTTACACCTGGAAGTTAGCAGGTGTAAACAAACAATAAACAACATATAATGTTTGGAGAATATTCTGCTTATCAAACTCTCCTGGATAAACTCAAAACTTTAGAGTGACCAAACTGAAAACAAGGTTAATTTTTAGCTCCTAAAAAAAGCCATTTAGTTGATTCTTAAAGCTCACTGGGGCAGACAACCCCCTTTTTTGTGAATGAGTTAATGAATGAATGAGCTGCTTTCTGGGTGACATATTAAATAACATTCAACCCCCTACTAGTGTTTGCTTGTTAGAAACACAGCTTTTCTTATTATCTCTGACTGAAGACACACCTGTGTGACCTGCTCTTGTCAGTGTACAGACCTCCACTACAGTAGCAGCACGACCTGGCTGTGTCTCCCCCAACATGTGCATGATCCTGATAAGGAGTGCGGAGTGGCAAGACAGCTGCTTCTGACTTTACTATGCATTGGGGACGATGGTTGCCATTTACCAGAGGGAAATATAGGTTTAAATACAACAGCGTTGTTCAATTTATATATATTCCTGTGATGTTTTGGCCTTTTAGGATTTTTGTTTAAATATTCTATATGTTTCTTAAGTTCCAACACCTGAAACCTGAGCTGTCAAACTCATTCAACCTCTCTGTGTTAGGACTTACCTGTTTCAGAAAGGCTGCTGCTTCCAGAGCTTCGTTTCTGGCTCTTCTCAGTTTCCTTCCACGCCAAAACACTACGATTTAGAACAACTTCTACCTGTCTGTGCTTCTCGAAAAGCTTCGAGGACAGCAATCTGCTCTGTTTGTCCATATCGTCGCACAGTCGAGTCATTGGTTGCGCAGTCCTCCCGTGATTCCTCATCCCAACTTTGTTACGGCCCGCGTTACAAAGCGCGCTGAGCGTCTGCGCTGTGTGGAGCCGGTCGGCCCCAGCTCCCAGCACAGGACTACAAACCCAAGATCGTGTGTGAAGAAAGATGAGTCACTTCATGGTGGAAATGAAACTGGCCTACTTTCCACCCTGGGCTGTCCCGCAACAAGCAAACAACGGAGATAACAGGCTTCATATAAATGAGATGTCTCAGTATTATGCAACGTGAAAATGAATTACTGTCATTGAAAAGCTGTTTTTAAAAATAAATCTTGAACCTAATTATTATGGCAAGAAAACAATCCTTTGTAATCCTATTATCACAGCAAAAACTGTACAAAACCAATAATAATAATAATACATAATAATAATGAATGAGATGATGATGATTATGATGATGATGGTGATGATGATACAAATGTATACAGCACTGTTGAAAACAAAGTTACAATTAAATAAAATTCACTGATGTATTAGGGTTGGTTTATTGATCAGCAGTGAGTGATGATATGTCATTCAGTCTCTTTTGGAACCCTCATCATAATTGCGTTATGAGTTTTGGGATATGTTTACCATAAGTAACTGAATCTTAAATGTGCTAACAAAACATGTCTGCAGAAGCTGGGCAAGTTTATTCTTCCTCAAACCCAAATCAATGCCCTATACAGCATCTGACGTGGCAGAAGTAGGAAATAGTGACAGAGTGAGAGCTCACACCTTGCACCCTGTCTGCTTCAGTCCTGTGGAACAAACACTGCATCAGCACTGGCAGTAAACACATACTGTCTAATTCATGACTCAGAGCAGTTAGGTGCTTCCATGCTGTTCCAGACTGAAAAGTTGAATAATTACTATAACCTCTCATAACCTTCAGACAGCAGTGAGGCAAACAACAACAACATTAACACAAATGATGACTAAACTGTGGTTTAAATGGGTTTGTCCTCCACAACATCCTCAACTCTGCTTTTACCTCAGTGGGAACTGGGCTGGTTTTAAGATGGAGCAAGTAATGTATCAGTAATAGTTTATCCAGTCTCTCTGCACGTACAGTATTTGCCCATTTCTTTCTGTGTGTGACAGAGCGTGAGAGAGTGTGAGAGACAGATAATAAGAGAGGAATTAGAGGAGGTATTGTCAGAGTTAACCATCTGCTTCTAATATTGAATTAATTGTGGATTTTCATGTTCAGGCCCCCGAAGGTCAATAACATTTTGTGTGTTTTGCTCATGTGCAGGTGTGATAACTTTTTTTAAACTTTAAACTTTGAACTTTGTAACATCTACTGTAGATAACAATGTAAATTACCTTGTAACACCCTGACATGGTGAGAGGCACACTATTTGAACAGTGCATGATGCTGAAATGAAGTCAAATAAACTTAAGACAGGTAAATAATATAATATGGCCCATAGCTGACCAGAACACATTTGTCAATAGAAACAAATATTCAAACATAAATAAAGCAGACTACAGTCTGTACTGAGTGAGTATCAGCTCTATTCTGTCAGTGCAACACAGAACATATGTTCACATTTGAGGGTCATTTTTTGCCAAATGAGGATTAACATGCTCTCACTCTGTTAATCCTGATTTACCAACAGGAAATATGACATCTCCCCTAGTAAAACAGTTTTCTAAATACATGTTATTCTTAATTTAATAAAAAGAAACATATGTTTAAAATAATGTTCTCCACTGTGCCTGTGAAACTTTGGGCACTCTCTGAACAATGCTAAAAAAACTTGCCCATGGTTAATCCTAACTGTTTTATCCCTCCTATAAAAAGACAAACTCTTATTCAGAGTCTCTATATGACTACGCTCCAGCACTCTACCACTACATGATACATTTCTGTATGCTATAATTGTACAAATTTATGTTTATATCATGATCTAATTCCTGACCTCCCACACCGTAGGGAGTGTGAATTGATGAATTTACTTGCTGATGATTAGGGACATGGCAATTAAAACCTGCAATCAGTGATAATCATTGCATCAAACAATACAAACATATATTATCTTTACAAACTTGAGTCTGAGTAATAATGTATGTATACTATGGTGTGTTCAGCGGCAGACTGCTGTCCCAATCCAGCTCCACCAACAGACACAAAAACTCTTTCGTCCCCTTGGCCATCAGACCTGTATTTGCACATCCATTTGCACTGTTTACTTCCACTTGCACTCCACTCCATTTGCACTGTTTACTGTAGCTACTGTTAATTCATAGCATAAGTACTTTATATGTTATCGTTTTTAAAAATCTAATTGTGTGAACTTCTGTTCTTAAGGTCCCAGAGTTCTTTGAGATTTTTAGTTTAATGCTATGTTTAAGTGTATGGTTGTGTAAATTTTGTAATGCTAACTGGATGGCTTTGAATGTCTTGCTGGCAATACAATGAAAAGTATCTATCTATCTAACCTCTAATCTATCTAGTTCTACTCTAATCTAGTTCTATCCTGGAGTGCCTACTCTATCCTATCCCTATCTATCTATCGAACAGATCTCTATCTATCAACAATAGTAAACCTTACTAAACTCTAAATACAGCAGCATATACTGTACCTATGAACTAATGATAAACGATGAGCATCTTTCCTCCCCCACCTGTGGTCCTGATGCTGATGGCCCCTCTTTTGATTGACACACAGCTTGTAGTTTCTGTCAACACGTCAGCTACAGCGGACCATGACGTCAGTGGCTTCTCACGCCACCTAACAGCGGATCTCACTTGTGATTGGCGGACAACGAGGAAGCGTCCGCTCGGCCAATCAGGGCAGCGTTTGCTCGCCGACGAGGCAGTATCAACATGGCAGCTCTCTGAGTTTTGGAGGAGGGGACCTGGTGTAAATAAACACAAAATTCACGTTTTACAGATAACGACAGCGTCCGAGTGTTTGTGTTCAGGGCTGGTTTGGCCGTAGAGGCAACATGTCGACGGACGGAAATAAAAAACAGTTCTGGAAAAGAAACACAGCGAAGGTTCCCGGCAGGTGAGTGACGTGTTCCCTCCTGGAGGCTAGCTTAGCGCGGCTAGCCTTCCTCCACTGACGCCTCACTGTTGAGCTCCAAACGCCGCTTTCACTTTCACTGACGGCCCTGAGAGGTTGCTCCAGGTTTTGGGAGTTTCTCACCTCCAAATGCGCCCAATGTCTGTGGCACATTAGTGTCCCAGGCAGTCCCACCGTCCTGCTGTTAGCTGGGTTAAGAGCTACGTTGCTAACCTCGGCTAACAGCACCGCAGTCAGAGTTGTAACTAACACACACACTTCAGACACAGCTACCGGTTCATATTACAGAGTAGCTGCGGTCTTACAACAAGTTAAAGTTAAAGTCGCAGTGTGACAGTATTAACTAGTATTGTTTTTGGGTAATATGAAGCTAACGTGGCTAGCTTGACAGCTCATTCATTTCCATTCTCTGTTCTTCACTTCCTCAGCATTCAGCATGTGTATGGCGCACAGCACCCACCCTTTGACCCGCTCCTCCACGCTAAGTAAGTTAAATGGACTTAGTCATTGTACGTAAATCCTCTGTGATCTTGTTGGGGTCGTTTACAAAGTGTTACACGTATGCTTGTGTAAGTTCCTGTGTTGAAACACTATCTGAAGTTGACACTCATTCAGGACTTTCATCAACTGGTTCACCGGAGCTCTCGGAGTGTTTTCCCATCTCAGTTCACCAGCGAGTGCCAGTAGGAAGAGGACATTCAGACAACAAACAGCAGAACAAGTCACATTGTTTGGCCTTTTGACAGCTGACCCCAGACACAAGCTGTGACATCATGGAGTGGGATGTGGTTATGATTGCAATACACTTAAATGTGTGAAAAGACACACACACACACACACACACACATATCCCGTCCTGTTGTGTCAGTGGAAGTTAACCCACCAAAACTATAGTTGTTAGATGTCTGGGTGGGCAGCTTAAAGGAAACGAGGATTTTTTTTTTTTAGGTTTTTTTTTGTATTTAAAAATCTTGTAATCATGTCCAGCACAAACAGATTATGTTATATGAAGACTGAATAATTCGAACGGAAGAAAATGAAGTAATGTTTCAGGAATACAGGATACCTGCACAGGTCTGGAGCATGTATAAATATGCAAATTAAAGTTTAATTGAATTAATTAGTTAATAAGAAACATTTTTTTGTGAATAGAAAAACTAGAATTCTGTGTAAAGTATGTAGAAAACATTTTTCATTAACCATCATTGGAGGTATTTTTGACTTTTTAGACAGTACCTGTTTCATTTTACACACGCACACAGTTAGAGGAAAGCCTATTATTCTGTAATAATCCTTTTAATTCTTCTGACTGATATTTAATAATGTAGATTTCCACAGAGGGTTGAATTTAATTTGCTTGTTTTTTGCCAGTACATGTTCAGACTCTCTCTTTTCTTCTAAGTTATGATGGAAGTAAGCTAATATGGACAAGTCTCTCTTTATTATGGTAATCCTTGTCTTTGTAATCAATCAGAGCACCCCCCCTCCCCTTCCGCGTTCCCCGTTCCCCCCCCCTCCCCTCCTTCCACCTTTCTTTTTCCGCATTGCATGATAAAATGGGAAAGGTTGAGTGTAATTGAATTCACGCTGAATGAAATGGTGTCCTTGCAGCACAAAGACAGCAACTCAGTAAAATGTTGTTCTTTTGAACATTTGCAGATTCAGTCTTGTTTTGCTGTTAGAGACCTGCTTTTGATTCAAAGGTTGTAAGATTAAGAGTGTGTGTGTGTAGTGGTGGTGACTCACACATCTATGTGTTTGAACGACCTGTGCAATATTTAATCATTTGTGTTTATTTTTGTTCAGGACAAATGTAATGAATTCATTAATAGTTAAATGTTTTATCTCTTTCACATACCTAGTTTTCTTTTACTTCTTTGCCCACCTGTCAGTGTCAAAATGATTTGCTTCTCACCTCTGTCCTTTTTTCTCTTATCCTCACAGTGGTATTTACTTTACCTCCCTCTCCTCTCCTTTCCTCTCCTTTCCT